TCAATTGCCAATGAATGCATTTGAAACAAGGAGTTGGTGTGCTAATTCTGAAGTGGTCTAGCTAATTTCTAACCTACCACCGCTAGATTCAAACGCGGGCTAAAAAGAATGCCTGTTCAGCAAACCTTCAACTCAAATTTGAGGGAAAGAACACGAGCAATGTTACACAAGAAAGGCGTGACAGTGCATGTTGTATTCCTGCCTCGTAAATTCTGACGTAACAAGTAGGCCACCTTACATGGACCGAAAAGAGGCCTCTTAAAGGCGTGTCACCCATTTTCCTGAAACGCTTTCATGCGGCAGCAGCCAAATCTACCGACTTTCGTCAACAGCATATCAGTAAGATTGGGCAACTTTCGAAGTCCTTTCAAGTACGCCATAACATAAAAGGACGTTCTCGTGGCCTTTCCACGTGATGCATACCAGGTGTTACCAAATTCCATCGTTTATTGCGTCCCATATCTGAACAAGCGCCCAAAACACCTTCACTCAAGCGTGACGTCCACATGCCTTTTAGGTCTTAAAAGGATAACCCAATCAGAAAATTTCAAGTGGCCAATAACAGTGAACATGACTACTCAACGATGACCATGAGGGAATACCTCCCTTTTCCGCTCACACGTTTACTGTACTCGAGTGTGTCGTAAGCCATTGTGGCATTTCCGACTTTACCAATCGTGTTTGGACTTCAAAAACAAACTTCGTCTTCTACGAAAGCGCAGGTTGCCCCGGGACATTGCCCTCGGGATAGGCGGTGAGTGTTTTCCTTGTCCGAGCGGTCACTTGCACTCCGCGTTGGCTAACCTCGACCTTCGTGAGGGGGGAGGGGGGGGGCTTGCCAGACTCGCTGGAGACTCGGAAGCGGCGATGTCGAAAAAGCGATCGTAAAACAGGCTTCCCACGAGGCTCGCATGACAGTTGTTGAGACATCACACTCTTCCTGCAGAACGAATGCCCGTATGCAAGCTAGTTGGCGATAAACGACAATGCAGCGGAATGTCTCCTGATGTTACCTTAGATTTCATCCCTCGAAAAAATGCTCTTCGTCTGCGCAGTATTCAACGGCTCTACGCTATACTGAGATGAGTGAAATCCGTACACATAATGCGATTCATCGTTGTTTCATGGTGACAGTACAATGAAGAAGTGAGACTCTTATCGAAGTCACCGCAGAGTGAACGTAATGATATAATTCTTTATGCTAAGCACGTGATAGAGTGCATGGTGAATAGCGCCTACAAAATTTCACGCGGTCTAAAGAGTCTCCGAAGCCTATGTAATATGGGTATGCTAGACATTTCAAGCACAAATATTTTAACAGGTGCATGTTTAGTTGGTGGTAAGTCACTAAATATACGAATCTATAGGGGTGTACGGGGTTTGCTACGTAATGTTATGCGTAAGGAAAGAAGTGAAGGAAAAACGTGTAGTGCCAAATTTCACTCGTACTGATGACGTTGCCGTTCTTGACCTGTTAGATATATCGTTTTCAGATTTCGGTGATATATATGAATCAAGTACTTGCTCTGTCGAAGATTTGTGGGGTTTCTTCAAGAATCTTGTTATGAAATGCGTCTCAAGTCATGTCCCCTCAAAGATTATCAGAACGCAATCTGCTCGCCCTTGGATGACGAGGGAAGTAGTGCGAGCGGGACGCAAACTAAAGAAGATGCGCAAAAGACTGCGCCAGAACCCGTCATCTTCTCATGTATCAAAATTTTCTAATATGCGTTTGCAGTTAAATGAAACCATAAAGAAGGCAAAAGACTATTTTTTCAACATATCTTTGAAAAACTTCTTGCTTTCTGCTCCTGCGAAGTTCTGGCGACACTTGTCACCTAGGAAGCAACAGGCATATAAAATCCTTATTAATGGAGAATTGGTAACTGATGAATCACTCATTGCGTCATCGTTTAACAAGTTCTTCTGTTCAGTCTACACAAATGACGATGGGAAACAACCAAATTTTGCGATTTCTCAGGACGTACCCAAAATTTTTTACTTAATGATAACTGAAGAGGGTGTCTTATCACTGCTGCTTAAAATCAATATAAAGAAATCACCAGGAATCGATTGCATACCGAACGCATTTCTAGTAAGGTATGCAGAATGGTGTTCAAAGTATTTATCTATTATATTAAAAAAAAAACATTGTCCACTGCAGAACTCCCGAGAAAACGGAAGCGCGCGAAGGTTGTTCCGATCCCTAAGGCGGAAGATCCTTCACTAATTACGTCATACAGACCAATATCTTTAATGTGTACCTGCTCAAAATTGCTAGAACATATTATTTTTACGCACTTGTCAAACTTTCTGCAACAAAATAAATTGATTGATTGCTGATTGATTGATTGATTGATTGATTTGTGGGGTTTAACGTCCCAAAACCACCCTATGATTATGAGAGACGCCGTAGTGGAGGACTCCGGAAATTTTGACCACCTGGGGTTCTTTGACGTGCACCCAAATCTGAACACACGGGCCTACGACATTTCCGCCTCCATCGGAAATGCAGCCGCCGCAGCCGGGATTTGAACCCGCGACCTGCGGGTCAGCAGAATTGATTGATTGCCGCCAACATGGTTTCCGTAAGGGAATGTCGACGGTTACCCAACTCCTTGAGACAATACACGAGTTTGCCTCAGCCTTAGATAAACAGAGTCAAATCGATATAATTTTTTTGGACTTCCAAGGCATTTGATCGCGTCTCGCACCATAAGCTTTTGTTAAAATTAAAACCCATATTACAAAATAACTCGCTTCTCTCATGGATAGAGTCATACTTATCGTCTAGGAGTCAATGCGTATCAGTTGGCGGCTCGTGTTCACGCCCGGCGCCCGTGCAATCAGGCATTCCCCAAGGGTCGGTTCTCGGGCCACTATTCTTTTTAGTTTATATAAGTGATATCGTAAACGATATACCTGTCAAAATCAAACTGTTCGCGGACGATTGCATCCTTTATCAGGAAGTAAACACACCTGCCGACCAGGCATTATTAAGTAGTGCCCTGGACAAACTGCATATTTGGTGTGAAAAATGGCAGATGTGCATCAATACTACAAAAACCGTCTCAATGACAATTTCAAGAAAGAAGGCACCACTTACTTTCCAGTATTCAATAAATGGTCGCTGTCTTAGTGCTGTAAATCGTTATAAATACTTAGGTTTAATAATCACTTCAGACCTCCGGTGGAATGAACATATCACTTTTCTAGAAAAGAAAGCCATGAGAAAGCTTGGATATCTTAGACGATCGTTACGACAGTCAACGCAAGAAATAAAACTATTAGCATATAAAACCTACATTCGTCCCCTTTTGGAATATGACTGCGTGGTCTGGGACCCATACACAAAGAAAAATATTGATAAACTAGAAAACCTACAAAGAAAATCTGCTCGATTTATCTTTCGCTCATACAATCGCCTTACGTCAGTCACTGCTTTGCTTCAGACAGCGAACTTGGAAGCATTACATTTGCGGCGATATCGCGAAAGACTAAAATATATGTATCTGCTCTACCACGATAAGCTTGGCATTGATTCAAGTGCATATATAGAAAAAGTTGTGCGACGACCTACGCGGGCGGATCACTCAAAAAAATTACAGGAATTTGCTTGCAGAACTAACTTGTACATGGGCTCTTTTTTCCCACGAACTGTACGCGAGTGGAATCGCCTCCCTGGTGGGATTGTGGAGGCGGCGACAGTGGCGTCATTCTTATCGGAGCTAAAAAAATTCATAGCATGTCTTCCTGCCATATTTGTAATCTTTGTTTTGTGACGTTGCATTGTTAGTACACAAGTGATGTTAGTACGCACTTATATAGGTATTATGCTATGCGCAATTGCATGTCATGCACTGTATATTTTTCTTTTTACCGCGTTAAAACCTGTGTGTCCGCGACATTCTCTGTGCGTAATATATTGTGAAAATGTTCAGCGTGCTATATTTATATGTTACCCACTCCTGCTTATGGCTTCACTTTGAAGCCAGCAGAAATCCTGTAAATAAATAAATAAATGAATAAATAAATAAATAAATAAATAAATAAATAAATAAATAAATAAGCTCCCGGCACCAGTCTGACCTGGTAGCGAATGAGCACGCAACTTGCCCGGCTTACTGAGTACTGTGTCGTGGACTTGGGACTGCACTCACGTCCAGACAGTATAATATAACCTCTCGGTGGCTTTCTTCTATGTGAATAAACGCTTCTTCTCAACACTTGCTTTGTGAAACACAACCGTACATTTCGCTCTCTACCTAAAATCACTTATATACAACCTGTAAACTCAGTGTAAGCCAAAAGTAAGCTCCTTACCCTTGAAGGTCTCATAATTACGGGTATTTATAAAGCAGCTGGAAACTTGGCCAGTCAATTTACAGGTATTTCAGTGTGATGCCTGCGTGCTAAACTTGCACCTATTCCCACTGAACGGGAACAGCATGGTGAGATAAAGTATTTTCGTCATTATATTCTAGACTCCTTCTTACACAAACCACTAGCCCAGTGGCAGTGGCAGCACACGAGTGAGACACACAAAAAAGTATGGCCACTCAAGACAAAGCCTAGTTATGTGTGTCTGTGCCTTATTTGAGAACTGCTAGTAATGTTATAAAACAATACCCACATTCCCCTTATTACTGTGTGCCAAGCCTTCAAAGTTAACTGATTTCAGGAATTTTATGCTCTGCTATAGCTATACGAAATGTATGCAGAAAATACTGCCACGCAACGAGGACCGCCATGCACAGAGAATCGCGGTCTTGTCCATTGCGGTATCTCTTCTTTCTTTTCTAGCCTTTCTAACAATAGCGGGGTATCAACGTTACGCAGTGCGAAGTGACGTCCGGCCCGAGTGTCTGTATGTCGAAGGCACGTTCACATTTCGACTGTACGTTCCTGGCAAACGGCGTTTCTGATGGCTCCCTATAAGTGAACGGATGCCGATTCGATCGGAAGATCTAGCGACGAAATCGAGAAACGGGATCAGTTTCAGCTGCGTGACATTTCGTGGCATGCTGATGTGGTTCTCACGACAGTTTGGTGTTATGAAGCAGTGTGCTGCAACGTGTTTGTTGATGGCGATGTTGTCGCTTTGGACGTGTGAGCCAACTTTTGCCATGACGCGTCCAAACATCGTGCTTCTTGTTGTCGACGACTTGGTAAGTCCCCAGTTTTCAAACACCTGCATGTTCTTCAAGAGAAGTCATCTTTGAGCAGGCAGTTTTTATTCTGACGCCTACAAAGAACAAATGTCCCAAACACAACTTTTTCGAATTTTTACACGACGGAATTAAAGCTGCCACTTGAATATGAAATTCGCAGTAGGCTGTGAACATTTCAACACCGGGACTCAAACTTTAATACGCAAAGTCACATTTCGGTTATCTTGCATTCCACATCAATGCTAAAATTTGAAGTTGCGCTTACTAGAAGCGCATTTCGGCTTCTTTTGCCACCATCACCGGGTCGCTGCATGATTCCCCAGTCGCTTGTAGCGTTTTTTTTTTTGGTAAACGGAGGATGGGCTACTTGAAGTTTTTAGCAAATACAGTTCTTTTAGTGATCATCACGTGCACTGATGCGTGTTTGCCGTTCACGAAGGCACGTTTGTCGATGGCGATGAGTAGTTCAGTGTTGAAGTCATACGCACACTGGGTGAATCATTAGGTAACGTTAATAAATTACTTGCAAACGCGCCTTCAACCAAATGGAGACTATGCCCTAGGGATAATCTTAATGTGCAACTGCATGATTTAATTCATAGTAGCTCATATTTTCACAGCGCAAAGCTATTAGGTGGTTAATAAAGCTCTCCATCGTATTTAGAGACATATTTTAATTATAATAAATTTATTTCCAAGAATGCAAAAAAAAAAGTCTTGGTGTTTCTGCTTCTTTTGGGCCTATTTCGCGACGAGTATTTGCTTATTCGCTCGGTGGCATCTGACAACACCGATCAATGCATACGCATTCGCAGCGATCACGAGTCCTGATTACTAACTATTGCTTAGCTGCAGAGTGCCTTGAATATATTACGGCAGGTTACTTTCGTGAACCGCTAAAGTCATATACCAATGAGCATCTATTTTTCGTGTAATACTATATGCCCTGTTCTCGAAAAAAAAAGCGAAAACTGACACAATTTCCACAATCAAACTATAACGTCAGTCGTCAAACAGCAGATTAGCTTAGACGATTTTGGTTTTGAGAGTGGCAAGCCCTGAAGAGATCAACAACGCTCTAGACAAGAGTAAATTTCACAGAAGTTTATTTTTAATGATTAGCATCCGTTTTCCCATGACCACAAAACTGGTAAACACAAAAAGCCACCTTTCGACGAGTAAAAGTATGAACCTAAGAGGTAAACGAAAACCTTAATTCGAGATAATAAATTTTTATTTTGTCTCCAGTGCCTAACTCCATGTACTGTTTTTATTGGTTGTATACTATCAAAATAATAAATGGTTTGAATATAGTTCTTCTGATTAGGCATGGTGTGAGTTGAAAATTATAGTGAAGTACTACGGTGTTCGTAAGCACGCACGGGTTCAGTGATCAACGAACCTGCGTGGGTTCACGTATGGTTTAGTCACCAAAGAACGCGTACGCCGTTCTGAAACGTCGGATATTTTCATCAGTCTTGCCCACCGAAAGAACGTCATTTCATGCTACCATTGTACGAGAGCTCTTGTGCTATTAATAAATCCATAAACACATATGCACGGGAAAACTATGAAAGTTTGGTCAGTGTCGAACATCATAGTTTTCAGAAAGTGAAAGGGACTAAGCGGGCTTCTGAAACGATTATGTAAATTTCACGAATCTATGGCTTCTACAACAACAAAATTACTGAACCTACTAATGAGGGCCAAACTTCTATAATGCGTAAACATTGAAAATAAATTATTCAGTTAGATTGTGGTGTGCCCTGCAGTTGTAGCTCACATAATATATTCTATACATTATTTCAACATTTGAACGATTAGGTTCTAACATCAATACTACAGTAGAGACTGCTTTCATAGTTTTCTGTGCCACAAATCCCGCGAGCTAAATGCAACTGTATGTTCAGAGAGGCACGAATCATACGGGAAGAGCACGTCTGTTAAACATGCAGGCAGAGCTCAGTCGGCTACTCTACAAAGTGAAAGAAGGAAATAGGAGTTGGATACTTAATGGGGGTGATGCCATGAAGTATACTTGAAGACGCGTACCTTCAGTACTCATTGTTGATTTCCCCTCAAGTGGTCACATAGGGTTTGCATGTTCAATGCACGCAGCAGCAGTCTCGAGGTTTGCTTATCGAAAAAGCACGTGGTTAAGGTCTACGGTTTCAGCAGGTTAAAGGCTGCAACCGCACTGGACTTCTCCATACTAACACCAACGATACTATTTCAAAAGCACAGGGCATTGGTCCCAGCTGCAGATCTGAGTCTTCTCGCAAAGGAAAACAATTTCTCTTATCCACACACTGCTCCCCTTTGTTGCCGATACATTGATTTGCGTCTTAGTAACGCTCGTAAGCACATTGGTGGCATGTTCACTAGCTACAAATACTCTCGTAAGGCCTCGTTTCCTTCAACGGTTTTCGTGGTGTGTAGCGAGAGCCCAGCTCGTAGCTGCAAGAACCCAGGCCAAACTGAAGCGTTATTGAAGTATTGTTTCTGCTTCTTAAACTAATGCTGTGAAATTAAGCCTAATGCATCGCTTCTTTTTTCAAAGACCTGAAAAGACACAATTTGGTTGCTGTTTTTTTTTTTAAGGCGTAATTGGCACTGGCAGGGAACGTTAGTGCTAGTCACTGACGGTCCTGGCAGTGGAAGCAGTGACTCTGGCAGAAAAACACTGTGAACCGGTTAATTTTATGATATTATCTGCCCTTTCACTCTTTCTATGACGCGGGCAGTGCCCAGACGACAAGAAACGTGAAAGAAACTATCACATGCAGGCACCGCTGTACTTTAGAGGAAATATAATCACGCAGGCACATTTGTACATTTTGACGACAGACACCCATCAAGCACCGGCTATAGCCCACCCTGTTCATAATTAACTGTATCAACAGGTAGGACAACCTTCAACAAAAACAACATCCTCACCTAATCGTTGCTACAAACAGTTTCATCTTACACTTCACAGATAGCATACGAGTACTTATCAAGCACTGCCTTTCATATGCTCAAGTGCTCTCTCTTATTTTCTTCTATTCATATCTTTTTTTCTTTCATATTCATACCTTTCTATTAAGAACATTTTTTTTCTATTCATAACCTAGGGCTGGAATGACGTCAGCTTGCACGAGTCTACACAAATAAAGACACCCAACCTTGATGTGATGGCCAGTGACGGCGTCATACTGAACAACTACTACGTCACTCCTCTTTGCACTCCTTCAAGGGCAGCTCTCCTGACGGGGAAGTACCCGATTCGCTTAGGTAACTATACGAAAAGTCCATATGAACAAGTGTACGGAGCTTTGCTACCGACAATATCAAATATAACCGCAAAGCTTCGGTACGCAGTAAAATTACGATGAATTGTGTTTTGGATGGGCTTAAACTGCTATGTAGCTCAGTAATGTACCATTTTACTTCACATGCAGCTGTAGAACTTCTTCGCAATAATGTTTTCAATTATCTGCGTTCATCAATGAACTGAACAGCGAAATGGAAATACTAAGTTCTCTGTAGATTTTAAGATAAAAAACGGACTGCACAGTTTCACGCCCAGTTCATACGTTGATCCAAGCAGGAGTTCTCTCTTCAGTGTTTCATGAGACAAGCCCAACACAAGCTGTACTGCAACAGCCAAATGATGGGCACGGAAAGTGCAGGAAACTGGAATATTATATGTTTAGGCGGCTCCTGCCGATTAAACAATTGCGAGGTAACGAACACAAAATATAAAGTCACGGAATTCGCTGGTGTGCACTTCGTGAAAGCTCAAGTTGGTTCTGTGTGACAGCATTTCATTGCGCTCTGTAAAAAAGCATTTTCACTACTCCGAAAACCAAAATAATCGAAAGCAGTCTGAATGTTATCGCGGCGTATTGCTAACAGGTGTCTTCTAAGCAAGTTCGCAAGTAACAAGGCTATACCATACCAGTCGTGAAGTCATTCGAGTCATTTGATGTAATACTGTGCCTTAGTGTCCCACTAAAGTAAAAGAAGGTTATGAATGATGGCTAGAAAAAAGCGATAGCCTGAGAGAAGCAAAGCAACGGACGTAGTAACGGACCTTTCATCAACCATTGAACACTATCTCCTATTATGAACGGGTTTTAGGTACACGAATAACTCTTATGCGACTAGATTAAACGGTATATTATAAAATAGAGATGTGACTATCTAAAAAGCACTAAAAACAAAACAGACTATAGTTGAAAATATAACGTCACAAGACTATCAATCTTTGGTCGAACGAACACACAGGGAAATTTTTTAATGCTCACACTAGCGGTTTTACGTGGCAAATATCCGTGGGAAGTGACGTCAACGCGCATATTTCCAACCGTTTCTAAAAACGCCAACAATAACGATCTCATTACTGGACAGCTTAAAATCTACCACCTTGCGTCAAGTTAGTTCAGCATCAGTACTGGAACCACTAACAGTAGTAATTGTTTTAGGCCTTCAGCACGATGAAATACGGGCAGCAGAGCCGTTCGGACTCCCACTGGAATTCAAGCTGCTACCACAGTACCTGAAGGAACTGGGCTATGAAACACATGCTGTGGGAAAGGTAAGCTTGGAGCACGTTTGAGAAGTGCTTACATGAAAATTCGGTCATCATTTCAAAAAATCCTGAATCTTTCGGTTTGCCCTACTGTCTAATATACGACAACAACTCCACAGCATAAATACTATTGTATTTGGTATAATCAAAGAGAGTATGAACAACTGGTAAGTTTTCGCGGAGTAACTTTACGTTGATACAATCACATATGTTAAGAGCTATCTCAAAACACAGGATGTAGAAATCCGACTACACGATAAATATTCGCAACAATGTCTAGATAATTTCACTTGTTTCCCAGATGATGAGTTGAAAATTATGCTAGTAAAATTTTATATTGATCAGTTGTGCAGAAATTCACGCCTTCATAAGATCAAAGTCGTACTACGCACGACTGAACAGTTTCTATGAATCTTTCCCACTACTTTTAAGAGTGCGAAAGTTGCAGAACAGGCCCATTGTGCGTTAACGATATTTTGTCTGAATATTTGCAGTGGCACCTTGGACACATGACTGCTAATTACACACCAACGTACCGGGGCTTTGATAGCCACTACGGCCCTTACACGGATCACCAAGATTACTCGGACCATACCTCGTTCTCGGTAAAACATTCATATTGTCGTCACTTTCTTCATACAAGATTGCCGCGCTGTATGAATGAATATCCTCAACAAGTTTACAAATGTGTTAACACATTCAGCTGTGAGTCATTCTTGTGTGATAAAAAGCACACCAGTTAAAAATACTACTCTGCGTCACGAAAATTCTGCACCCCACGGTTTGTGAACGCTTCGTAAAGGCTCACCAGATCACCAGCTTAGACAATAAGATGGGGGCTGTCCAGTACACTTATGATAGGGGCCAGGAGGCTCGACTTTTCTGTTTCGTCGTAGTAATAGTCAGGTTGGCGCATTCGCATCATGTACAGGATACACAGTCCAGTTTTTTTTTTTTCAAAGAAGTCACATCACACACTAGTGGAAGTTCCAAGGTGTCTTATACTATCCCCATATCAGATGACAACGTTCAGATCAAGTAGGAGAATGCGTTAGCTAAGACATAAACTGGACTTTCATCTGAAATATTTTCCATATAATCATCGGTATACCGCGAATGGTGAACTAATGCTGCTCGCCATCTCGTAATAGTCTTAAATCTCATGTAACACTATTTTTTGTCATTGGACGGAAACATCGACAACCCAGACCACCCTGCTCTTTGTCGTTGCGAGCATTCGCATTTGATTGGTATGTGAGGCTTAATGTCACAAAACCACGATATCATTATGAGAGGTGCCATAGTAGAGGCCTGCGGAAATTTCGACCACTTGGTGTTCTTGAACGTGCACCCAAGCATTCGCATTTGCTACGAGACCTCTCCTGCTTCGCGGAAAAGCCACGTTGTAGAACAACAGTGCTAGCACGATGTGGGAGGACAAACTGGCCCTTTGTTGACCAAACCCGGAGAGCCACCCACCGTAGCTGGCGGGTCCCCGAACTGAGGAACCCATTCACTAGACCTGAGCGGTGCCATCATCGATAAACGTTTTGCACTCAAGAAAAACTTAATCTGACGAGTCTGACGTTCTTAACAGATGTTCAGCACGGACAATGACACATGGACAGGATGGGGCCTCGACATGTGGGACAACCTGAATCCGGACCAGGAGTCCTCCGGGAAATACGCTACCAGCCTTTTCACGGAAAAGGCTATCGAAGTGCTCAAGAAGAGAAACCAAAACCGGGTACGTTTATCATACGCAGATGAATGTTGATCTAGGCCTAATGTTTCACTTGTCATTTCTTCAAAAGACGCTCCGCGTAAATGCTTAAACATTGCTGCCCTGGGATCCCAGTCAGAGAAGTCGTAATTTTGCCATCTGCTGAACGGGAGTATAGATAATTACTAAATGCCGTAACATCAGGAATAAAATTTCCTAAAGTTCAGGTATGTACGCAAATTTCATCTTCGTATGTGTACAGCAGCATGCTGTGAAAATAATAATGTTTGACAACTACAGGACAACAGTCCCGTCTTCGTTGAATACCAGTGCCAGCATCACCTTTCAGATGCTTTTCGCTATTACAGACATCAGCCCATTGACGTGAAGTCAATGGGCTGATGGGCGAATACTTAAAGACGGTTCAGTTTCTTCGACAAAATATACATTTGAAAAAAAAAAACAATGTGTCAGCTTACTAGATTCACTTGGCATTCGACGCGTTCTAACAGTTGGTATGGTTGTTCGAGCCAGCCGGCAATGCATTACTGGTGCCGCGTTTTTTTTCTCTCTCTCTCTCACAGCCCTGAAATAGGGGCCCTACCATTTGGAATGCTCCACATTATGCGCAAATGAAGTTTTCTCTCTCTCACACAGCCCATATTCCTGTACTTGTGCTACTCTGCCGTGCACGTCGGAAATTCTTACTCTCTGCTCGAAGCTCCCGAAGAAGACCTGCGCAAGCACAGTCACATTATGAATCTGAAGCGGAGGTCTTACGCAGGTGAGTAACACCAAGAGCGATTACTGCCCTCTATTAGAAATGACGTCCAGCCATTGACCAGATGAATAATGCAAGTAAGCACGTGCACCGGATAGTTAACATGATGAATTACCATGCCACTGATAGCTACCTAAGCTTCAGTTAAATCGTATTCCTCCATAAATTACTATAAATAAAGCAAGGGTTTTGTGTTATTTAGCAACTATGACAACACAAGCGCGTTCTATATTTTAGACATTGCTTCTATTTTCAGAAAGTATTATTTGTTTCGTATACAATGAGTAAAAACAAACGTAGTGATTAAGTCGGTGATTGGATATTCTGCACAACATATGAAGAAATGGGCCCTACAAACTAGTTCTCTCTTAACTATAAGGCCAATAATGAAGAGTGATATCGGGAGTTTACATGTGAAAAACCATGATATGGTTAGGAGGCTCGCCATTGTGGATTCTGACGGTCCGGTTTTCCTTGACGTATACATTGACACCGCACACGATATGGGTATCTAGCATCGGACCTCAATCAAAATGCGACCACCGCCGCAGGAATCGAACCCGCGACATTCCGGCCACGGGTTTGAGTTAGTTCCATAACTACTACGCCACTGCAATGGGCAGTGATTCTCTGCTATTGAACATTCCGCTAGCAATAATGTCCTGCCCAAAAAATGGAAAAAATGGAAAAGTTGAGCCCTGCGAACCCGTTTTTTCTCACTTATCTTGGTCGACGGTAAAACTTAGTGTATTCGCCATTTTTTATTATCGCATAACCGAATCTTGAGCGCCAGCTGAAAAACTCAAAGACCCTTTCGTATTCAATCTGAAAAAAAATTCTAAAGCGAAAGCCTTGTTCTTTTAACATCGAAACTGCTGTAGTCTACCGTAATTATGTGGTGCCACCAGAAAAAGTACCATCATAAAGCAACACGCGCCCATTTCTCGCTCTTTTTCGTCTTTATCGTCTTCATCTTGTGCCATCCTTTCAAAGCGTCAGCGCTGATTTCTCTGCCGCGGTACGCAATAACTGACACGTGAAGACCAGTACATAGAGAGACACACAGAGAGAAACAGAAACTGAGAAACCGACAACTTACGGGGAAAATATTTCTTCGCAAGGAGAGATTCTAACCCACATACACACCATGCAAAGGCGAGACTCAGCTCTCAAGGTACACTGGCAGAACAAGGCATAGTCTGCATAGTACATCACAGCGATGGGACGAGAAAGGACCATGAAATAAAGAAGAGAAGAGGTGAGGGTGGCGCGGAGAGAAAGGAGGTGATTAGAGAGTATAGAAAACACGCCATCAAAAGTAAAAGAAAGAACAAAGACTATGAAAGATACAAACAAAAAGATTGAGACAAAGAGTATTGAAGAGAGATTAAGATATAAAGACGGAGAGAAAAAAGCGATAAATACACAGAAATGATTGACATGTGGTGTTTAACGTCCCAAAACCACCATATGATTATGAGAGACGCCGTAGAGGAGGGCTCCGGAAATTTCGACCTCCTAAATATACTGAAAGAGGGAAAGAAATGGGAATGAGAAAAAGATAGGAAGACTTGGCAAAAATGAAATTGAGAGAGAGAGGTGCGCAAGTGAGGGTGAGGAGGAGAGAAACGCCACCAGCTCCACTACTACCTAGGTGTTGGCACCAATGAAGCGAAGCCACTGTACACTTACATCTCAGTCAAAATATTGATGCCCTCTCTTGAAAGTTTCTGCGCTTTCCTGCTTCGCCCCTGCTTTCGCACCACATCAGTGATAGCGGTACTTTCTTACTCCTCTTCTTTTCTCTCTCTTTGCTTTCTATTATTCTCCATTTACCCCCAACAGAAGTGTCGGGTAGCTTCCGAGCCAAGCTTGGTAAACCTCCCTGCCTTTCTTCTCTATTTATCTCTCTCTCTTTAACCAAACGACGATGCCATATAATGATGTCACGATGATGTCATAGTGGCATCACAGCTTTTAGCACTCTACGATGTCATCATGCGGTTAATTTTTGTATTACATGCGACTACTGCGGAGATGAAGAGACCATCGAACACGTCCTGTGCAGCTGCGCTTGCTACGACACACAGCGATGCCAGCTACGGATGGTTTTGAATCGACTTGACCCCGGACCATTTTGTGTGCAGAAGATACTAGGACCTTGGGCATCTGCCTCAGTTGCGCAGAAAGCAACTAAAGCACTGCTACTTTACCTTAAGTTAACAAACCTGAGCGACCGCCTGTAAACTGTGTGTGCTCCCCGAGTGTGCTCGTGATTGTGTGTACCTTCTCATTTTTCTGCAGCCTCTTTTCTCCCCTTTATCCCTTCCCCAGTGCAGGGTAGCAAACCGGATGGGCGTCTGGTTAACCTCCCTGCCTTTCTTTGTATCTTTATCTCTCTCTCTCTTTGTATTACTCTGTTGACATGTTGACCTCATGTCAATGGTCCATTCATGTAAGGATAAGTCATCTAGAGATAAGCCACGTAAGGAAAAGCCGTCTAAATATATCGCATTAGAAATTACCCAAGTTCAGTGCTCTCAATTTCTCATTGGACCACAGCCATGGTGTCAGCCCTGGACGACAGCATCGGCGAGATAATGAAGGCGCTGCTCTTCACCAACGCCATCAAGGACACCATCCTGGTGGTGACCACGGACAACGGAGCCGCCGCCGGAGGCGTCGACGGCAGCGCGGGCTCCAACTGGCCCCTGCGTGGCACCAAGGGCACGCTCTGGGAAGGAGGCATTCGGGCAGTCGGCTTCGTCTGGAGCACCTTCATCAAGAGGCCGCACGTGGCGCACCAACTGATGCACATCACCGATTGGCTGCCAACGCTGTACGCCGCCGCCGGTAGGCGTGCATCATGAATACCTTAGCTTTTTCGTAGAAGCGATCACGTTTCAAGGCGCTGCTTCTCGACCTATGGATTAACAGTACAGTAAACTACAAAAATATGTGCTCTAAACATTGCTTAGTTTGGATTCCACTGCAACGAAAAAAGAATGCCCAAATCAAGCGATGCCGAATTTTCTAAGCTCAAGGAAACAAGCTAATGTGTTTTGAATCGATACAGTTTCATCTACATGATGAATACAAAATCTATAATTATTTTTGCATAATACCAGCAGGGCAAAACGTGCACCGTATCTTCATAGTTTCTTCCGTAGCTTCTAAGTGCGGCAACAGTGCAAAGTTTCTATGTTTAATTAGCCTGAAACGGGCTTTGCGCTCCTTCCTTATAACGCAAAGCCAGCACCATCACGCTGACGTAGAAATTCCACAGATCCCAGTTACCTTGCAAATCAATATTACTCGAAGCTTGCGGGTGGAAGCTGACTGTGTCGTAATCTTTTTATTCAGCAACACTTTAAAAAGTGACGTCAAGGTTATGTACAAATTTGTTAAAGGATACGTTAAACAGCCGCATATGCTTTATATAAACAGTTCTTTGCAGTTGCGTGATTCCAACAGCCACATGGATATCAGCAGCACCAGAATGGGTAAGCTGATATGAAGCGCTGGTGCTCACTGGTGCTCGTTGGCCTTGGACACTGCTACATAAATCAACGTCAACAGATGGCGCCTAACTACAATTGACATTAACACGACGTGACGGCTGCATCATAGCAGTACCTATGTAAGGTTTATAAGTTTATATAGCCAGCACTGCAACCACAACTGACGTTTCACGACCATTAGGGTCTATTTGAAAAGTAGTTTGAAAAGTAGTTCCGAAATCTGGCATGGCTCTGTGATAGAATACTTGATTGTCACTCATAGCCAGGGTTCAATTACGCCTGAGACTTCGCCATTTATTTTTTGCATTCGTCAGATCAACGCTAACGATGTCAGCATTTTCTCAACGCTCACCCATGTCTGTTCTTGCCGTTCCTGAATATACACAAAGTGCCAATCACCTGTGGCAGATGCACGCATACCTGTGGCGCATACCCATTCGGGGGTAAGTGACACACGTCTGGGGAAAGGCTTTGACGGCGCACGGTGACGGGATTGTCACAATAGTCATGTCATGAGCATGGAGTCATATTCGTGAAACCCCGGAAGACAGACAGACAGACAGACAGACAGACAGACAGACAGACAGACAGATAGATAGATAGATAGATAGATAGATAGATAGATAGATAGATAGATAGATAGATAGATAGATAGATAGATAGATAGATAGATAGATAGATAGATAGATAGATAGATAGATAGATAGATAGATAGATAGATAGATAGATAGATAGATAGATAGATAGATAGATAGATAGATAGATAGATAGATAGATAGATAGATAGATAGATAGATAGATAGATAGATAGATAGATAGATAGATAGATAGAATAGATAGATAGATAGATAGATAGATAGATAGATATAGATAGATAGATAGATAGATAGATAGATAGATAGATAGATAGATAGATAGATAGATAGATAGATAGATAGATAGATAGATAGATCGAAACGCTCAGCAGGTGACTGCCGTTTGCGAAGATATGCTTCAAATTTGAAAATACCCCATTCTGGGTGGTAAAATCATTGAACTAGTTATTTTTGTGAATGATGTACATCTTCTATAGCGTTAAAGCTCACTTATGAAATGAAGTACAAAACGTGCCTACTAATGAGTTCGTCACCGATTTCACCAGCAGTCGCGCATATGTATTTATCACCACTTGCCTACTAAGCGGCCAGTAAACTTGACTCAGACAAGACTGACGAGGTCATCAACATAAGAGCGGGTGTGGTTGAAACCGTCCGCACGCAGGAGGCAAAGTGGACGACCTCGGGGAGATCGACGGCCACAACATGTGGGACACGCTGATAGCGGACAACGTGTCGCCACGAAGCGAGATCTTGATCAACATAGACCCGGTGTGGAACACGTCGGCCTTCCGATACCACGGCTACAAGCTGGTCCAGGGCTCGTTGGCCAGGGGACGCTACGACGGATGGTACAGACCCACAGAACCAGGAGGACAGCCAGTCAACATGAACCGAATACGGTAACAAAAAAAGCTTAGAGGGCTTACGTTGCATTGGCCTAAGATGACCTGTCTTTTAAGCCGATGTGTTCATCTTCCTATCCCGAATGAAAGATTTCTGCACAAAAGCTTGTTGTTGGTGGCTACTTGGCGCCAGAACGGCTGCTTTTCGACCAGTTTGGCGGCGAAAATTTCCAACTGGCGCCATAGCTACTTCCTTCCTACTTTCAAGCGTCTGATTTTTCTTATTCATAAAGTTCTTTTTTCTTAATAAATAGTAAAGATTCTGTTCATAACATCACTCCGGTTTTATTGGGCTGCGAGTTTTATGAAAATATGAAGTGACATGGCCACTTTGGCTTATTTTGGCTTGACTTTTGGCGTCTTTTCAAGTCCCCCCAACGTCAAAACGGCAGTGTGCGTGCCTAACACAGTTTTACACTTCTCCCAACAATGAACGCATTGCAAGCTTTCAGCGCATTATCTAGTTTGCGCTGCGTCCGTGATCGGCCAACCTTTGACTAAAGGACTATGTGATAGGATGGCGTCAAGAATTGATGTCACATATTGTGATGTCATGATGTTGTCATCATGGCGTGAAAATTTTTGCAATCTGACACTTCATGACAGCATGTGGAGGCGTAATCAAATGATGAAGATTTTTGATAACTTGTGTTGATTTAATTGATGAATGACATATGAGGTTTAACGTCCCAAAACCACCATATAATTATGAGAGACGCCGTAGTGGAGGGCTCCGGGAATTTCGACCAGATGTGGTTCTTTAACGTGCACTCGAATCTGAGCCCAAGGGCCTACAACATTCATGACTCATGTTGACGCTGCTAAGGGTCAGCTGTCACCTTTTGTAAGGCATCTGAGGTTTTTACATAAATCTTTGTTTAAAATAATTAGAATAAGTTAACAGATGTTCGCACCTTGTAGAGGCGCTGGCTGTTCTGCTGCTTAATGTGCGGATAAAGCTGGCACGAATTGCTGGACCCGCAAACACAATTGCGTCCATAGCTTCTTGGGTCCGGGCTGTAAATGATTGCACGTTACGTCATTTCGATTTTTTTTCAAGACTATAACGTACCTATTTAGCAATTACTTGTTACTCCATGCGTCCTTGTAGCTTTCATCTCCACTGCTACGAACCCTCAAAACAGACAGTCCAGATGATGCACGAAGTGATATCACAAATATTGGTCTTCTCCCCACGTTCTCTTGTATAAATGATTGAAATTTCTGTACATAAGCTCGTAAACTTGAAGCGCAGAAAGGTTGCCGAAATACTGAGCTTTTCGGCGGTGTTGAAAGTACACAAGTGAAGCGAAATGTTGCTGTTTCTGACACAAACATCTGGTCCCATTTGAGGGCTCTGCTCGTGCTTAAAAAATCACACCATCGACGTTCTCACATCTTGCTGACTTGGTCATCTTACATTTATTCATCATGATTCATCGTGACGCGATCGGTATATAAAAGTAACATGTCTTAAACATGGCTAGAGTGGAAAGAGACTGACACCACTTGTATTAAAAAAACAGAGCCAGGAGCCCACCTGGAGCCCCACCGTGGTGGTCTAGTGGCTAAGGTACTCGGCTGCAGACCCGCAGGTCGCGGGATTGAATCCCGGCTGCGGCGGCTGCATTTCCGATGGAGGCGGAAATGCTGCAGGCCCGTGTGCTTAGATTTGAGCGCACGTTAAAGAACCCCAGGTGGTCAAAATTTCCGGAGCCCTACACTACAGCGTCTCTCATAATCATATGTGATTTGGCGACGTTGAACCCCACGTATCAATCAAATCAATCAAGAGTCCACCTGGAAATTTGCATATCCCATGAATCCATCAAATGCTTTATCACCGCCCGCTGAATGCCTCTATTGACAATATACATGTGAAATTCGGTCTCACTAGTTGTGCGCAAAGTGAATCACTAAAAAAAATACATGCATCTCCACGAAGCGATTCATTACGAGTGGACGAAACTCTGGGTATCGTATCGGTGAGTAGCCATACGTTGTGCAAGCGTTGTCCCATGTAATGTTAATTTAGGCAATAAATTGTCATAAAGTCACATAAAGAATCGACTACACAGCTATGTCCTAAGGTCTATATTCACTAGGTTGAAGTCACCAACTAGCATAAAAGTGTTCGTACGTGTTTTATATTGTTCTGTCACAATGTTGATTGTGGTTAATCTATTGCAAACATTCCTTTATTCACATCGGCACGTATGTGCCACAGGTAAGCGGGCATTGGCGACAGGTCATCGACACTTAATATCTACCCAGGAACTGCGAGAACCAAAATTGGTATTAACGCGAGCGTACGTTCAAATCAATCGCCGACTATAGTGTAAAGGGTTTGTACCTCTACGTGTTTTATACTGTTTTGTCACAATTGTGATTGACATTAGTCTATTGTTATACCTTTATTTTTGTCCCACATACATGAATCTCCCCGTGACGGACTTCACGGACGGACAAGCCTCGGCCCTCGCGTGCTTTGCCACTAAAAGTTCTGCGAACAATGCCGAGGCATCATTTCACGGCCTACCATCCTTCGAGCTTTTCCACGCGAATTCTCTGCTGAATCATCGAAGCACAGTTTACGGCTGCGTTGTGAAGGAGATGAATGCTGCTCGAAAATTAAGGGGTAGCCACTCAGGCAAAGAAGACAAGAAGAGACAAGAAGAGAGCAGGGTGGATTAGGGAACAAACGGGGGTTAAGGATATCATAGCTGAAATCAAGAAGAAGAAATGGACATGGGCCGGGCATGTAGTGCGTAGACAGGATAACCGCTGGTCGTTAAGGGTAATTAACTGGATTCCCAGAGAAGGCAAGCGGGTTAGGGGGAGACAGGTTAGGTGGGCAGATGAGATTAAGCAGTTTGCGGGTACAAATTGGCAGCAGCAAGCACAGGACCGGGTTAACTGGCGGAACATGGGAGAGGCCTTTGTCCTGCAGTGGACGTAGTCAGGCTGATGATGATGATGATGATGATGATGATGATGATGATGATGATGATGATGATGATGATGATGATGACTAAGGCAAAAAAAAAAGACCTCTGGTGAGATCGACACTTGCGCTGTTTCTACCGCTACCAAGTAACTTCCTGCGACTGTCCTAGTGGGACACAAACAATTGCTTGTTCTAAACGTCATGCTTTAGTTCCTTTATAAGACCAGGTACCCTGCGATGTGAGCACTCTGCGGTCAAGACAACTATACACCTGCTTAGTTCCTGCTTTAGGTTTCATCATGGCTTTGCATTATAAGTCCGTCACTACGTCTTCTTGCTCTCACTGACAATCCAGCACTATTTCATTGTATTACCAGTTTCACTAAGCTCTCGTTTTTTACGCGCAGCTCTCAGTTCTTCCACGCTGCGACGCCATTCAACGCCAAGTGTGCGGCGGCGCGCACCATTCGAGCGATGGGTCGGCCGATGCCGACACAGCGTCCGGACGAGCTGTTCGTCGTTTGCGGCCACAACAACGGCACGTCGTGCTATCCCATGTGGCAGCCGTGCCTGTTCAACATCGACTCTGATCCCTGCGAGCGCGACAACATCGCCAAAGAGCACCCAGACGTGAGTTGGTTGGTTGGTTGGTTCCTCAACACCTTGGCGCAACCCACCTAGGGGGGGATAGGCCACGAATGGGACGGTGCCTTGCTTTTTAAATTAATTCACTTCTTGAAAGAGAGGGTTGGAATAATTAGGTAATATAGGTAACAATAAAAAAATGTTAAATTTCTTTAAAAAAACGTTGAAAAGAAAACGTAATAAACATACAAAAAAGAAAAAAATTATACATAAAACAACTGAAGTTACTGATTTTTAGCATTCCATTTTTCTAAATTCTCGTGAGAAATTTGTAACCGCGGTAAAAACGCTCCTGTGGCTGAATCCCAATGCGACTGCGCCAAATGAAAGAATCACCGAAAGTGCCAAGTTTAAGCCCAACTTTCGTAGGGGTTACCAGATGTCTTCGAAGTGAGGCTAACGATGTGAAATGACCGAGCGTTTGTGAGGACTTGCATCCCACCACTGGATTTGTAGTATAGGTTACGTTAACGCAATTCAGCCCATGCGTATACGCACGCTAGCAGTTCTACTTCGCAACTGCCTTTGCAATCTCTTATCGCGTTCTCAAGTCGGTGGTGACCCGCTGTTTTTTTTTCTGCAATCACATACGCTCAGAGCATTCTAATTAAAATTGCTTGGCATGAACGATTGTGTTCGTATTTATTGGTGTCTTCGTTAAGAAACACGTTCATCGTCGATTCTTGGTAGCCCATCCACTCGAAAGGTAACTTAGTTTTCCACGTTCTGTAATGTACAATTTATTCCTCCATAAATTATTCTATTCTAAGCTCACAGTTATCTCCTGAAAAATTTTTAAACATGCTTTCATTACAGTTATCCACACCTACGCCCAAACAATGTTTCAGTGGTGTATGAGTATTGGGTGAAGTACAAGTTAATTTCGTTAGCAGCAAGCAGTGGTGTAGCCGGACTTGGAATGTGGGGGGCTGGTACAGGGTAGAAACACGTATCTTCGCTAAATGCATACGGTATTGAATGCTTACAGCTGTAAGAAACATATCTACATTTGCTTATCATCGAAATATAAGAGCAATGCGCTTGACATTTTCTACATTCTTCCAGCTGGTCTCAGCACAGCTAAAGCATTAGAACATTTAACCTGCCATTAATATTGTTGCAATTTGTTGTTATTTGTTCTTGTCATTTGTTGTTGTTGTTACTTGTCATGTGTTCTTGTTATATGACGTGTATAGGAATTACGAATTACGCTATTTAGGATGGTGCACCCAGTATTTGTGTACTAGAAAAAAACATGAGTGCGAAATTTCTTTGGGTTGTGAAATGCGGGCTTATGCAGTAGGTGAATGCTGTTGAAAAAGTCTATGTTGTCTTAATGAATAAAACCCCTTTTCCCGGCATTATTGCATCGGTAAATTATTCTCCTGTACACGCCCGTATGCCGGCTGCAAGTCTTTCTGCTCACAGATACGTTACACTAGTACATTGTCTCTCGTCGCTGCACGAAGTGACCGGCTCGGCAAGCTTTACCGACTGTGCTGCTTTGTTATTTTTGCAGATCGTGGATTTCCTGCAGTTGAGAATGAAGCAGTACAGGAAGAAGATGGTTCCTCCCCTCAACCAGCCGGCCACCCGAAAGGCTGACCCAAGAAATTTCAATTACACGTGGGCTCCGTTTATGTAATTCTAAACATCTAACCACCCTTTTAACGTTGATATTGAATAAAATGTGATCTGATCACGCCAAATTATTCTTGTAATAATTTACGGATGAGTGCCCAAAGGTCTATGTTTTCCGAATGTTGCCATAAATCTGTCAATGCCAATAGTTGTGCACCAGAAGAAACACGCTGCGAGGGAAAAAAAGGAAGGAAAATAGAATGCCAACTGTGGCAGTGTGTTATGACCCCTCGCTTCCGCATAAGTTTGCCCATCCATTTGTCCTTTCCAATGCCGTCAATCTCGCAAAAATAAACGCCGTGACCAGCATAAGCGAAATCAATAATTAGCTTCTTTTGGCTGCGCATTTCAGTCACAAGACTTAAGGTCAAACGTGGAAAGGTGTAGACACGAGATAAGACCCGTTACGGGTGGTGATTTTAGGCATTTAAGCTTCATGAGAGCAACTCGACCTCTCGCTTAATTTTTCCTCATTCGAGGCGAAGACGTTGATCGTCACTCGGAAACCAAACAACATTTACATATAAGGACGATCGTAAACAAGCCAACACTTAATTTGACGACATTGTCACGAGAACTTCTCGGCACAATCCACCCCCCCCCCCTCTTCTCTCCTAACCTATCTTAGCCAACAAACAACCAAAAAGCATAAACTTCCTGAACTACACGTGGTAACCCTTATCGTTCTTTGACTCTCTCTTTGCACTCTTTCCCTCTCTTGTTATTGTGGCGTCAATTGCACAACCGTTCGCGCATCGGTTATGCTTCCTACATTCTACTGTCTCCTCCACCACCGTCGAAGCGCGCGGAATTCGAGGAAGTCACGTGCGACACGTCAGCGATTTCTCACCCATTTCCTCGATAACCCTCGCCCTCGTTTCCACCACCCGACTCACGCGCCGGCTCCGCAACGTATACGAGAAAGTGACACGCGCAATCGAGGAAGTGGTTTCCACGAGACTCGCTTTGTTTTCGCTCTTCGAACGAAACCGCTTCACCACCCAACCGCTCAGCCCCACCATTCTGCCTGCAGGGAGGCACGTTCGCTTCTTTGGATTCACGGCGGCGTTCTCCGTGCAAGGAATTCCATTCCTCCTGGTCTGCGTACAGCGGCACTGGAAGATCGACGATTCATCGGCTTGCATACAAAGTAGGACGCGGCCCAACATTGCACGTGGTTTCATTTGGCCGAAAGAGAAAGGGTCGGTGGCGTGGGTCTGTGGAGACCACGTATTGATAAAAACGAAGAGAGAAAACTAACCCTGACGACAGATGAACTACGAGGGCTGCTCTTCGACGCTGCAAAGGCGTGGATTAACAGTGTATACCCCATTTACTTAAACCTTTACCCCCCCCCCCCTTCAGCACACCCCGTCGTCCACTGATCGATGCGAGCACAAGTATTTTGTGTAAAGGAGTTGTCGGGTTTGAAGGCTTGCGCAAGAACAGACTTCGCAGCCCTTCGTCCTCTGATATGCGACGGTGATTCAACGGAGTCGCTCGTCTTTCACGGTGGCCGCCGCCGACGTTTCGCAGTGGGCTCCTTACCGTGAACACGTGTGAAGTTGAAATACCTACGTGAGCCATGTCGACCCTTCAGGCGTTTCAACGTGGCCGATGCGCAGGGGGTGCTCCAATAAACTCGACCCTTTTTTGCGCGTTGCGTAATGCGTGAGGTCAATCGTTGTGACTTTCTGTTGGGAATCCTTGCACATTCGGTACCGAGGAGCAAAGTTTGAGATTTCGCTAGTTGGCAATGCATCTTCAACAATCAGCACAGAAGCGGAGAAGGAACAAGAAATGAAAGAGAAAAAGTGCTTGTCTCTGTGTCTTTTCTTGTCCATCGTCCGTTCCTGCGCTGGTTGTGAAAGTTGGTTCAAAGGCCTCGCATTGTGTATGTAACTGGCACTTATGATCTTCTATTTGAAAACAAAAAAGAGATGAATATATTGGAAAGTGGTTTTCCTTGATCTTTATAGTTCTTCCATGTTTCTTCCCTAAAGGACATACAAGGTGGTCACATTGAAAAAAAAATCCTACAATATGTGCTAAGCAGGATGGTTCGAGCTTCTTGTGAGATTGAGTTTGCTATGATCTTACAGTACGGCGACCATGACGAGAAAACAGTGCGGAGTGCGCGAAAGATGCGTCGAAAAAACAAAAGGCTACAAAGAACACGCATCCCGTCACAAACACTCTCGCAACGTTCGCGGCGATTTTCAAAGAAACAGTGTGCCTGAACTCATGCCCTCCAGCACTCAGCGAACATTTCAACACTGCAGCAGCGCCATGTTGTGTGGTCGTTGCACAAGTCTCTTCACCAACCAAACGTCGCGTGAACTTGCCGCAGGCGTGTTCGTGGTTGGTTATATTCTTTTGTGAGAGCTCTTTTGTTCCCGCTGGAGCATGTTCATTTCCACTTTAGATGGCAACGAGGGCACACACGCAACACTTGTGTGCACCTCATTCCACTTCGTTAAAATAGTATGCCCATCAGGGGCGAAGCTCCGCAGGCTGGAGGCTTGCCCATTGGCGGCGCTGGCGTGCGCCGTAGCCGTGATGACGATAACGGTGATGATGATGACGGTAACGGACAACGACCGCCTTGTGCAGTATATGACATCTCGATACGCTTTACGACGCCTTTAGTCTGGCTATAAAGAACCGACAACCACCAAAGGAGCGTGTACAGGTCTTGCCCTTGCCAACTGCAAGCTAGACCCGATACCACAAAGCAGTAACAGCAAACCCGAAACGAAAAGTACAACTGAACACAATGGGCCAATTATTACGAATAAGCATTCTATGTAACTGTACACTACTTTGTCACTCATTTACATGCATGAGTGGGCAGTGTCAAGGGTGATTTACGGTAATATTAAACGATCTCTCTGCTTCGCTATTCATCATTATTCACTTAATGGATATGCCGTGCTTTATTAGGTTACATCGAATATTACAAAGTTACAAGGCAATTCATAACCTAATCACGCCGATCGCTATAGGCTGCTTGTTTCAATAGTTTGAGATGTTAACTCGCTGATGCGCCTAAAAACGTCAGGACACACATCAATATCATAGCGTGGTCTGCCAATTTATCGCAGAGCTCGTTGGTCAAGTTAATCACTTATAACTAGTGTATACATCAAGTTTATTTCCAAGTTAGGGAAAGAACTGTTTATATTGATCAATAAGCAGAATTTTATTCTGGAGGGGGGCTACCAAAGAAGTTGTTTTAAAAATGTCATTCCCATCAGGCCGACTCAAGGAGGTTTAAAGGAAAGTTGCTGAAGTGAAAGCTTCCGCAATGCCTTGCCGGCAGAAGAGAAGCCAGTTTCTTGCCACTGCCAAGATGTGGGAAGCATGCTCTTTTCTGGTAGTGTTCACTTAGAAATAAAGTCACTTTGATATGTTAGTGTAAATGCTACGTTAGTTCTATAATAAAAGATAGTTGTTCACGACAAAATAACGCACAGAAACGAGCATGGGTGACTGAATCTCCAAAGAACTTTGCCACCAATTAGAGGCTTTAAAAAATTTAGGAACACAAAGACGCACTTGGAGCAGTATGTGACCCAAAAAAGTTTTCACATGAAACTCGTTGGGCGTGCGAGGGGAAAGCTCCGCTTTCAGTAGCTGAACGGTGGTAGTTTATGATGCCCCTAGTAAGATGGTCACCGTAGCCGCCATGTTGCCGTGGCATGGCTTCACTCCTGGACAATGATTTCCACTCCAAAATTTTTTTTAAACCTCGTTGGGCTGACTACGCCCACTGCAGCGACAACAAAGCTATGTCTTGCACATAGCTGCAGTGGGCAAAGGACAGCTTTTTGCCCACTGCAGGGCAAAGGGCTGTCCCATATTCCACCAACCAACCCGGTTCTGTGCCTTCTGCTGCCACGTCATACCTTAGGGAGCGGCAGCTGCAAGAGCGCCGACCGTGGTAGAAGAGGACGATGACAGCAGGTGCGCTCGTGGCCTGCGGTAGCCGCTGGCGCCGGGAAGTTGCGGCCGGGCAACGGCGAAATAATGTGGCTGCTAATCTTCCCCGAGGGGTTCTGGGCTAGCCGCCACCCCCTGAAACCCTACAACCTGCAAAACTTCTTGGCCTGATCTACTCATCTAATTCACTGTCTACTTCTCATGCGTTTGCGTCTCTTGGAACCCATGCAGTCGGTTGCACTTATTAGGAAGTTTGAGAATCGGCGCTCCAAAGAGCTTGGGGACCCAAGAAGTTTGCGACGTGCCAGAGTGCGTGCGCAGAACCCAAGCTAATCTTGAACTCATGCGTTCGTGTAGAAGTATCATGGGCCACCAAGCCGTCTTGGGTCGCCAGCGAGACGAAGCAGACGCAGCGCGAGCCACTGTGTCGTACTGCCCACTTCTCACATAATTTTCAATTTGGCCTCGGGTGGCACCCCGTGCGTTTGACCCAGTTCTCAAACTGTGCTTATCCTCCGAACGCAAGAGCAACCTACGCAACGCCTCTTGGGGACCCAGTGTCCTGGGCCCCCAATTATCAAACTCTCTATTGACTAGCGGTTATTATGCCGGCGCGCAACGTGTTCGGTCCATGCAGAAAGTGATACGCAAGTAGCCATTGAGCTAACGCTGAGAGGGAAAGTAAAGAAATTCCGAGTTCCTCAGTGCCGTTAACGTTGATTCAATGAATGATAACGTGACTACTATCATTGAGAAGTATATAATGGAAGTCGGGGGTGCAGTAATTAGACAGGGCACTGGCAAGCTATTACAAGAGACGAAATACCTAATCGATTAGAGACGTCAACCCATGAAACTGTGTAGGAAGTTCTGACTCGTAGCTGCTTTCCCCAATCTGCCCTATTTCTGACCGTAAAAGATGGCCAGCCTTGCCGATTTCACGGTAGGTCAGATGCCAGTCTTCAACCCACCTGACCATCGCAAATGAGTTATGCGAAAAGCCACAAGGTGGTGAAAGGGGTAAAAGTGGTAAAAAGGAGAACCACCAGTTTGTAGTGAACT